CGGTGGTGTTTTGGTCGGCTCTTCTCTCACTGGGGTGGTTGGTTGTGTGTTTGTGTCTTGTCGGGGGGGGGGGGGGGGGGGGGGGGGGGGGTTGCAAAATTTCTACCCTATACACTTCAACACTCCTTTCAGATCGTGTTTCACAAAAGTTAGATATGACTTATCAAATAAGGTGACGTAATCAAACATTATTCTTATAGTTTTTATTAGAAAATTTGTCAATAAGATTGGCTTTTCAAGAGGGTTGAGACACTCCAAAAGATGACATCAACAATTTATAAAATATTGTTCAATTTACATGATCTCTTCATCTTTTTCATTTCGTCATACACAAATTAATAAACAACGTCAAATAGCGAGTGTTAAAGTTGATTAGTTGTCAATTTGTCAACATCGAATTCTATACAAATTAATTTTTCAAAGTATTTGTTGAAGAATGATGATTGTATCTATTAGGCTACAAAACACATTCTGTCAAAACGAGTAATGATACATAGATGATATTATCTGAAAAGATATCATTATCATTGTCATGAAAAAACTAATCTCTCTTTGCTTATTAAAAGACATGTGATCTCCTTTCATTACTCTAGAATAAATAAACTAGAGTAAAGAGTATTTTTTTTATGAATTTCAAAATAATTTTAGCCCTATTACGTAGACATTAAGAAAAAAGCTTCTTCAAAAGAAAATTCTTTTTCCAATGTATACGTAAACATATTAAGGTAAGATAAGCAATGTTACATATAGCTAACTAGGAGATTATTTTCTATAAACATCTTCAAAAGAAAATAGGCAAATATCATCTTGTCTAATTCTTCGTTTTTTTCAAGTTCGCAGTTCTTTTATTCCTTCCTTTACTTCAGGAATGTGTTCTCTTTGAGAAAAAACTTTCTTTTTGTTTGTTTTGATAAATAAGAAATACAAGAATTTCTTTCATTTAATTTATTATTTCTAATAAAAAGTATTAATAAAAACTGTATATTTGTCAGGATAAGATACAAAGAAAAATATAGAATTCATTGTCGGACATAATTTGGCGTATTAAAAAAAGAAGTCTCTACAACATTCTATTACAATGCTATATCAAAAACAAAATAAATGCAGAACTTTTATTCCACTCGTATAATAATAACAAACACATTTTGAATTTTTTTTACTGTTTCGAAGCAAGTTTGATGGAGTTTTATTCTCGATAAATCAAAATGGTTGACCATTTGGCTAGCCAATATCACATTTTAAACCTGTAGAGATTGCACTCAAAGCTTTTTTTAATAATTTAATACAAAAGTCAAATCTGATGACCTTAAATTTTCGCTAAAAATGAATGCAGTGAAATATCTATGTTGCTCCAAGTTGAAAAGTCACTTCTCATCATTTTCAGTTACCTAAGATACGACTAATAGTGATCTGTAAATAGATTGACATTATTTATTCATGTATTATTCACTTAGTATTCTTTTCTTAATCCAACCTCGTCAGTTCGAGTTAAGCAGTACTTTTGCGCTAAAATTGAAGTCACTGTTGAACGTCACTCTTCTTCTAATTCAGATCCTGTACATTATATTCTTTTGATTAGATTCATTCCAAATATCTTTGAGTAAAAACTATTTTTTGTTCTTAAATATTACTGCTTTTCTTTTCGTTTTTGATTTTCCTCACACATAGTGTGTTTAATCCGCGCGTTACTATTCACTTATTCTCCTAATGTAGGTTAGCAAAAAAGTATACCGTGCACGCCTGCAGTTGAAACGTCTCGATATACCCCTAGGATTCACGAATTCGCAATTCAAGGAAATTCGAGAAAATCAACTAACCCAACAGACGTACATAAGATATTAGGTTACCAGCCTTCACTACGATAGAATTCTGGCTAATTCCAGAAAATCAAGCAATTCAAGAGACTGAAAGCAATTCTAGAAATTCAATGAATTCAACAAACACATAGAACAGGACAAGTCATAAGCCTAAACTGTGATGGAATTATCGAAATTCAACCCACACGTACACCCGGAATTCCTCCAATTCCCTTGAATTGCTTAAATTGCTTGAATTCTTTGATTTCCTAAAATTCTATGAGACTTCGAGGGGATAAAATTCAAAGATATATGGATATATTGAATTCCTTGAATTGCTGAGATTTCCTTGAATTGCCAATTTTTGGATCGTAGGTACTGCTGAACGTCTCATATTACACATAGAAATGGTGTTGAAGCTAAGAAGAAAAAACTGCTTGAATATATCGAAAACCGATTATGTTGAAAAGACATTATAAAAGAATCTTTTAGATATATAGAAAACAAATTTTTCTCACAAAATATCATTAGATCTGCCAGTGACAACATATAGAATCAAGATGTCAACATCGACCACTTCAATATTCACATTTGTTGCACAACAAGTGAGCATTTATTTTGGCATACCTATGCTCATTGCTGGTGTAATTGGTGGAATTCTCAATATTATTATATTTCTTAGTCTTCAAACATTTCGACAAAGTTCATGTGCATTTTATTTAAGTTTCATGTCAATTTTTAATACTGGCCTTTTAGTTGCTGGTCTTTTCTCGCGTATTCTGATTAGTGGATTTGCTATTGATTGGGGACAGAGTTCACTCTTCTATTGTAAATTCAGATTATTCCTTCTTAATACATTTACACTCATGTCATTAATATGCATTTGTTTGGCAACAATTGATCAATATTTTGCGACATGTACTTATCCTCGTTGGCAACAATGGTGCAATTTCAAACTTGCCTATCGTTTAATCATAGCATTTGTTCTCATTGCAATACTACATAATATTCAATATTGTCTATTTTATAATCATATTCAATCACCTGTCACCGGCAGAATATCTTGTATAATTACAAATGACATCTTTTCAAAATACGTTAGTTATTGGTTTAATCTCATTTTCATAGGCTTTCTACCAATCATTATTACAGTATTTTTTGGTTCATTGGCATATTATAATGTTCGACAATTAGCTTATCGAACATTGCCACTTGTTCGTCGAGAATTAGATAAACAATTAACAGTAATGGTTCTTGTGCAAGTTGCCATGAATTTCTTTACTCTTACACCATTTAACATCTTGAGCGCTCTTTCGTTGAACAAAAGTCTCATGAGTGATCAAGTTGTTGCAGTAAAAATACAATCGTTGCTTACTATTGGTATCTTTGTTTACTATATGACTTTTGCAGTAAGTATAAATTGATCAGACTATTTTTTTAACGTTTTATTTCTTTTCATTATTTGTTTAAACATTTGTAGAATCCATTCTACATATATATCTGTGTATCGGAACGATTTCGTCGGCAATTGATCTATGTCCTATTTGAGATTCATTTGAATCTATGGCGGCGACCAAGAATAGTTATTAATCAAGTAGCACCAGAATTATGAAGAATAATGACGAACAATACTACTGGACATTGTTTAATTGATAAATACATTCAAATTCTTAAATAATTTCTTTGCATTTGATGTCAAATTCAATAAATTTAACACCATAAAATACAGAAAGCCTACTAGAATGCAATGTTATTTTAAGATACTAGTGAATAAAGTCTTAATGGTTGTAGGTCAACAAATGCCAATATGACAAAAACTAATTTTTTCAAATTTGTCGAACTTAATATTGTAAAAATATTCATTTTCATATGTACATATACAGTTGGGGCCAATTGAAATTCCCCATATCGTTCTTTTTTGTTTTTGTTACTACCCATGTGGTTCGAACCGGAAAAAACCGACGGTATACCGCCGGTAGACCGTTCGGTATAATGTGCGCTCTACCGGCGGTATACCAGCGGTTCACCGCCGGTATTTACCGGTAGTAACAAAATAACTGGCGGTATGCCGGCACTATCAGGGTACGAATCTACTGATCCGCAGTCTTACGAATCTAAGAATAAATGTAAACTATCATAGGCCACAAATCGGTTTAGTGAATCTATTTAATAAAAAATCCTCTTATTCTTTTATTTAGATATCGAAAATTTTTTTTTTGAGCGAAAATTAACTGTCTCTGAGAATTCAAATAACTTTTACATTTCACTCAAAAACAATTTTCGCTATATAAATAAAAACATAAGAGGATTTTTAATAAATAGATTCACTACACCAACTTGCAACCTATGACATTTTACTTTTATTCTTAGATTTGTAAGACTTCCAATCGTAGATATCATTAGCAATTATTACTTCGTCTTTGTTTCGCCGTTTTGTTAAGTCGATCATTTTCGGATTGATCTAAATAAAAGAAAAAATAATAATTTACATGCAAACATACTTACTTTTCTTTCTGTTGTTAATATTGCTCTAAACCAACAAAAAAATTATTTTATAAATGAGTACTCACTTTTCATTGTGATCTTAAAATCGATCTAAATGAAAGAAACAAATAGTTTACATAAATGCTTACTTTACCTGTTAGAGTTAAGATTACTCTAAATAGAAGAAAAATATTATAATTTCTGCAATAAATACTTACTCTTCATTGTTAT